ACAGAACACCCATACAGCAATTTAATTAATTGCCTTTAAATGTTAATTCAGTACAGTTTCCCTGAGTAATCTTACACAGGCAAATCCTCAGTTGCCTTAAGCCACTTGCAGAGTGTGTTCAACTAATAAGGTATTCTTAGTCCTGACCAGGAGCCTTGCACGGGACTGTAATCAGGAATGATTAATTGGAAATAGCTCTTCTAACCCAGGCTGTACCTGCTGTGCTCTCCTGTGCTGCCCAGCTCTGCCCAGAGCTGACAGGGAGCTGCTGGAGTCCATGGAAAAGGGAATTTCCTTCCCAGCTCTCTCTGTGCTGCTTTCTCAGCCACAGACCACCCTCCCAGTGCTCCCCAGCCCAGTCTGGCATGGAGGGTTTCCAGCACAAAGTCTGGATTTGCCCACAGACTTCCCTGGGGAAGAATGGGGTGTGGGAGGTCATAGTGGGGATTTATTAGCTCAGCTCAGCCCTGGCCAAGAGCTCTGCCAGGCTTTGGGAGCTGGTGCATTGCATATCCCAGCCTGGAGCAAACCCCTGCCTCCTGCTTGGGTGTGAGGGATCAGCAGCGCTACTGAGAGTAAATTTGTGCAGTTTTGCCTAATTCAGCAAAAAAAAAAAAAAAGAAAGTCGCAGAATCCCAGAATTATTTGTGTTGGAAGGGACCTTAAAGCCTTAAATCTCCTCCTGTTCCACGTCCTGCCATGGGCAGGGACTCCTCCCACTGTCCCAGGTTGCTCCAAGCTCTGTCCAGCCTGGGACACTTGCAGGGATGGGGCAGCCCCAGCTTCTCTGGGCAGCCTGTGCCAGGGCTCAGCACCCCATGGTGGCACAGGGAACCCTGTCCAGGTCAGACAGTGGCTCTGTCCTGGAGTCCCCTGCTCTGTGCTTCAGCTAAAATCATCCTGCAGTGTCTGTCACGTGCCAGGTTTGACCTCAGGCCAGTGAAATTTTTGGAGGTTTCTTCTTTCTGTGCTTTCAGCACATCCTCCACTATTTCCCTCCTGCGTTCCACCCCGTGGAAGCAGCCTTTGAGCAGTAATTCAGTGTGCCTGCTGCAGCCAAAGGTGCCTGGGAGTTAGCGCAGACAGATGAAATCCACGTTATTTGGCTCTGCTGGAGTGGTGCAGCCTGCTGTGGGAGAGTTTCACTTTCCTAAAGTCAAAGCTTGGGGAACTTGCTCCTAAAGCAAGGCTTGAAATAATACCCAGCAAAGGCACGGAGGAGACAGTTCACTGCTGGAAATCACATTTCACTCGGTGTCAGCAATTCAGGAGAAAACCATCTGCAGGAAATTACAATGACAATTTCCTCTTGGAGTGTGGAGAAATTACAGCTGTAATCGAGGAGGCAGCCAACAGCCTCCTCTCCCCCTGCCTCTACCAATTACCCTGAAAACCTTTCAGTCATTTCCCTGCACAGAGATGTCTCTACCCCACCCAGGAAGGACAGAATGGAAGAGCTGATATTGTGCAGGGAGAAACAGCTCAGCACCTGAGGAGTACCTGGTGTATATCTGAAACTAAACCTTTTCTCCAAGAAACACGGAGCAAAACTCAAGCCAGTTGCAAAATGCTGCAGGTCTACAACTCTCAATGTGTTTGTGATGGTTTTGGGCCAAAACTGGTCTTGCCTGCTGAAAGCTGATTCGTGCACACGTGGAGATAACATTCATCAGAGGAAAGAAACAAAAACCTGGCTAGAAAATGTGCTCATGGGACACCATTCACAAGCCAGATCTTGGTAAGGTGACACCAGGAGGCCAAGGGATATCTCCAGGACCACAGGACAATATTTACAGGGGTAGATGGTGAAAGGACAAGGGGGAATGATATTAAACTAAAAGAGAAGAGATTAGATTGGATGCTAAGAAGAAATTCTTTACTCAGATGGGTGTTGAAGCATTGCCACAGAGTGCCCAGAGAAGCTGGGGCTGCCCCTGGAACCTTGGAAGTGTCCAAGGCTGGGTTGGATGGGGCTTGAAGCAGCCTGGGACAGTGGAAGGTGTCCCTGCCACGGCAGGAGGTGGAACTGGATGAGCTTTAAGATTCCTCCCAACCAAAGCCATTCTGGTTTTACAATTTCAGCAAATGGATGTAGCACGTGTCTGAATTCAGAACCTTTCCTCTGAGGTTTCAGCCATCAATTTGTTGCCTGAGAAGATCTTTCCCCACCACCAGCTGCCTTAGCAGTTGTCAGCATCTTCCTGCTTATCCCAGCACTGCTGCTGGAGCTGATGGGAGTTTGATTATGATTTAATCCAGGCTTTTAGAGGAGGGGAAAAAAGAAAATTTTGACAGTTCCATATATAGCCCTGTGACTCACCGATCTCATGTGTCAAACACTAAAGACGGGTTAAGTAGAATTAAGTTCTGGATTTATTATAAATAGGCATTAAGTAACATGAATGTATTGCATTTGCATGAAAATATGGGCCCAATTCTGCAGCTCACCCCAGAGATTTGGTTTGACATCGATGGGATGGTCCCGGGTGGGAGCTCAGCTCAGAGTCAGCCCAGCTCTGACCATCCCCTGCAGCCTCTGTGAGCTGGACCCAGAGAAACAGGAAAATCATTGCTGGAATCAGGGAAAGTTTACACTGCTTGCACAGATCAGAATTCATCCCTTAATATAGTACAATGAGTTTTAATTAGCCTCCAGATCTGCTGCTGAAGGAATAATTTCTGCATGTCAATCAGTGCTAAATGTACTTGTTAAATCAGGCAAGATTGGTTAAGTTGAAAATTGCATAAAAAGTCACTTTTCTTCTGTTTCTCCCAGAAGCTGGAGACGTTTTGGATTCAAATGTTATGGACAATCTCATCCTGCTCCAAATATTCTTCTGCTGAAAGGTCCATCCAGACAATGAAGTCACCCTCACTGAGAGCAAGTGTGACAGTCAGGCATTGTTTGGGTGAAAAAAAGTCCTCTTTAGTCAAATCAGTGTTTCTGCAATGAGGGAGACAGACACAGACTCTACCAAATCAGAGCCCTCCTGAATAGTTTAATTTACTGACTTGCTCATTGCTAAACAATTGAGAATTGGTCCATGGAGAAGAGCACAAAAAGGATAGACAATATGGGCTGTATTTTGAGGGTGGACTAGTCCAAGCCAAGGAAAAACAAGATTTTGAGTGGCATTGTTTCTGTAAACATAATGTTCACCCTTGCACCTCCACTTTTACTGTGAACTGGGGGTTTGGCTCTGTTTCTGCTGAGGGTGAAAAGAAGGGATGTGCCCTATAACTCAGCCAGGGCCACAGGGACTGAGTGACAAGCTCACCCTGGAGAGGTTCTGTTATTATCCCACGGAGCTGTTGCTCATGCAGGAACAGCAGGAAAAGCTCTGGGAGCTTCCCCCAGCCCTGGTGGGATCCTCAGGCTCCGGTGCCTCCCTAGCAGGGCTCTGCCCTCAGCTGTGATTTTTCTTATCAAACACCACATTCTGCTTGCTGCCATGAATATGATTTCCAATTAAATGCCTCCTCAGAGCCTGTCTGGCTGGGAATTAGGCTGGGACTTGGTGCCTGGGCTGTTAGCTCATCAAAGTCTCCGGGATAACGGGGAGGTGCCGATGCTCTGCTCGGGGATTTTGCTCGCGGCTTTGAACTCGCTGCAGCCCTGCAAACTGGGACAGGCTGCCCTCTGCTCACCTTCAGAGTGAGCTCTGCTCTATTCTCCTTCAGCCCACAGCTGAGTAAGCATCTCCAGGGCTACAGAACACAGCCCCTGTGCTGCTGCCCTCCGAGGATCCCAGAGTTTGTGCAGCCCCTGGGAAGGAGTTGGCCATGCGCTCCGGCTCCCGGGGAAAGGATTATGGTGGCTCTTATGGCTCAGTCCACAGCCCCTGTGTGCTTCCCTGCATAGGGAGGAGAGGAGTGGGCATGAAGCCTCAATCTGTCCCCTAATCAGCCACCCAACATGTCCCTGTCCCCAGGGTCCTTCCCCAGTTTGGCAGCGCCAACCGTTGCTGCTCAGGGTGCCAGCAGTGGGGGCAGTGAGGGGGTGATGGTCTAATTGTGAACAAAACAGATAAAAACCAGGCTGGAAGGCCAAAAATCTGGATGTGGTGTGAGCAGCAGCCCTAATCCTGAAGCACTGCTGGGGATGGTGAGCCCCTGGCTGCTCCTGTTGGAGCAAAAGGCTTTGAATGCCAGGTTATGGCCCAGTTCCAAATGAGGGTTTCTCCTTGCTGTGGACACACAGCCAGGGATATGCTGGAGCTTCAGGCTGGTTTTGGGACACAGAAACCCTTTGGTCCATGTAATGTGGGGTCCCAGCAGCTCCTTGCTGGGTCCACCATGGGGCACCACCCTCACTCCGTTGTGGTGATGCTGCCTTGGCAACCATGGAACCTGGGCCAGTACAGGGCAGGACTGGGACCAGTTCTCTTCTAGGTTCTTCCCTCTGCTGAGCTTCTTGCTGGAAATAGGGGTGGATCTTTGGGAAAACCTGAGTGCCACTGTGGTTCTGTCTCCTGGCTGGAGAGGAAGGTGCCCTGTGTGGGGCTGAGCAGTGTCAGGGGACACAGGGACATCCAAGGGACTGCAGTCAGTGTGGTTGCTGGGGACCAGCTCTGGGGGTAAGGGCTGCAGGGTCCATCCAGTGCCCTCCTGGCATCAGTGGGGCAGAGGGGCTCAATCCAGGTGTTCTGCAGGCACAGTGTGGGGGGGGGGACTGGCCTCGCTGGAATTTCTATGGAAACCCAGGTACTGAATGGGATGGAACAGCTCAAACCATCTGTTCTCCCCCTACTTATAAAACTCGATAATTTCACGATGACATCACCAGAAATGCTCTCCTTTTACTCCTCTTGCAGCCATCTGTGATGGTTTCCTCATGTGCCAAACACGCGAGCGGGTGCTGAGGGATGGGCAGGAGGACACAGCCACCCCATTACTCCTGTTTCATTTCTTCCCTTGGAAAGCAATCCTGTGCCTGCAGAGTTTCACTTGTTCCCTTCCCGAGGCGTCTACGGAGCAACCAGCAGAGTTAGACGGGAAAAATGAAGGTAAAATAGGACAAACTAAAGCTGGACTTCACAGGGACTGTGGAGGATCTGCTGTGGGGATCTTACCCATGGCAATAAACATCCAGCAGGTTTGCTCCTGCCAGCAAGGTGCTGGGGAGCACTGGGGCTGCTTCTCCTGTGCCAGGAATGAGGAGATTTAGGTGAGATTTGGGTGTTGGGAGAGGCAGAGTTGGGGAATTGGAGCCAGCTGAGGACACAGGTAGGGGTGGGTCTGACTGCCTTCAGTGCCTGCTTGCTGGGCAGTTTCTCAGCTAGAAGTCACCTTCTGATGGTCAAGGACAGGAACACTCCTGCTCCATTCCTGCTCCACTCCTGGGCTTGTCCATGTCCCCAGCACCAATGGCTCTGGTTCTCACCCCTGTGGTCCTCGCTGTTGTGTTGGGTGATAAAAGAGGTGACAACCTGCCATCACCTGTCCTCTGCACTGGTGGAGGTCTCTCCCTGTCCTGGAATGGAGGTGCTGGCTGCAGCTCAGCCAGCTCTGTGTGTTTTGGGTGGTGGTGGAGATCTCAGGTGCCAGGGAAGAGCTGGAGCTGCTGCTGCCGGCTGAGTTTGCTCGATTGACCAAACCCTCCCTTGTCTGTGGCAGAGGAGAGAAGCCTCAGCAGACCTGGATATCACCGAAAAGGAGAAGGAATACAGGGCTAAAGTGGAGATCAGGCACCTGCAGACTCATTTCCATCATGAAGCCTACAAGAGGAAATTCTTCGACGCCGAAATCTGGCGGCAGATGCAGGCTCAGGAGTGAGTACAGCTCTGCCTGACTGCCTGGAGCTTGGGGAGTTCCTCCATGCCAAAATCACTGATTTATAGACTCCCACAGGCAGGGACACCCTCCACTATCCCAGGCTGCTCCAAGCCCTGTCCAGCCTGGCCTTGGACACTTCCAGGGATTGGGCAGCCACAGCTTCTATGAGCCCCCTGTGCCAGGGCCTCGCCACTCTGAGCAAGGAATTTCTTCCTAACATCTGATCTCAATCTCTCTTCTTTTAGCTTAAATCCCCTCCCTCTTGTCCTATCCATCTGCCCATATAAAACATTGCTCCCTCTTTTCTGACAGCAATCAAGGGATTGCTCTCCCTTTTTGATAAAGAGATCTGGGGACCACAGAGCAGAGATGGGGAGGAGTAAGGAGCTGCCCTGGCAGATGTGATATGCTAAATGTCATTTGCTGTTCCATTTTTGCAGAAGAGAAATAGCTGATCTGAGGCAAGAGCACGGACATGTGACAGCAACGCTGAAGCAGCTCTATTCACCGAGCAGCATGGTGTTTGTGAACAGGAATCGCATGAAGGTCCGAAACCTCATGCAGACCAGCATGCAGAATGATGCCCTGATCAAAGAGAGAAAAGCCCAGCTAGCTGACCTGGCCAAGCAGGTGAGAGCACCTGGACTGTTCCCTGCCGGAGTCACAGAGTGAGACCTGTGGCTGAAACTCCTCAGTGTAAAACACATTTAATTCAGCCCTTGGAATATTCCTCCTGGCAAGTGACACATGACAGTGACAAATAGAGCCAGGCTCCCGTTCAAGTCAGCAGCACTGACTGGAAAAGTGAGGTTGGACTCTCAGCCTTGTCCCACTGGTCCCTGCACCCCTGTGTGGTGGCACACACCAGCCCAGGGCCACAAAAATCCCTCTCCTTCCCCCTTCACTTCTTTTTATTCTCCTGAAAAAGAGGTAAAACTGGAACAGTGCCGTCTGAGGTGTGCCAAATACAGGAACAGCAGCATCTGAGGGATGCCCCATCCCTTCTCCTGAGGATCTGGTTGGATTTGGGCAGGAGGGGAGTGGGAAGCCAAGGGAAACGTGGGCTATGGAAGTGACAGTTCCCTTCAGCATTGCTCTCAGAGCCAGCTGCCCAGGCTGGACTCCAGGGAACATGCTGGGATAGTTTGCCATTGCTGGAGGTGCTGCAGAGCTTTCCCAGCAGGGTTAGCTTTCTGTCAGGGATGATGATAACTCTGACTTGCCTGAGTCATCCCTCCCCCACCTGCCCCCTGCTTCACCATTCTCCAACTGCTTCACTCTTCCATGGATTTATTTCCTCTGGAATCTCCCCACTTCTGGCAGAAGTTTTCCTCCTCTCCTTCCCAGGGAGGACTGCACAGATCCCTGCCTGGCCAGCACAAAATCTCTACCACAGCCCCATCCTCATTGCCTCTTCCACCTTGCAAAGCGCTGCTGTACCATGTTCAGCACCTGCTGGAGTCCCTCCAAAACCAGCTGCACTTCCTTCATGACACAAAAAAACCCCATTCCCAGTTACAGTTCATGTTTCTGCATGTGCAGGGTGGGATCCTCTGGGATTAAAGCTGCTCCTATAACTGAGAGCTCATTAATGACAGGGTTGCTGTAGTTCAGATCAACAGAGGGGATTTTCTTTGGCTCTGTGTGCTGACAAAAGTCCAGAATGTAGGGGTGGAGATTATACTTCCTGGGTTGTTTTTTTTTTTTCCTGTGTGTGTGTGCAGGTTTTAGAGCTGGAAAAAAAGATAGCGAATCAAAGAGAATCAAACTGGAAGGAGTTGGGAGCAAGGACCCGCAAACAGCTGCATAAGACGATTGAGTTACTGGAGATGCGTCTGCGTCATGTAAGGAAACATTTTGGAGACTTTTGGAGGACATTTGTGGGGTCACACAGGGGCCTGACACCTTTCTGGTCAGGACAAAGCACATGGTGCAAACGTGTTTGGTTGCCACAAGCTGCATGAAGCACCTGCCTTGTTCCCCTGGCCTGATCGTTCCCAGAATATTTCAGAATATCTCAAAGGCTCCTTCAGGCTTGGTGACCCAAATGCAGCACTTGTGCTGTGCCAAGAGGCCTGAGGGTCTGCACCTGCTTTGTGATCAAACTGGGCTTCCTGGAGCCACCTTGCCCTGGACAAAGCCAGCTCCAGCTCTCTGTTGTGACCAACTTGGTCTTCTGTTGCCTTTCCTCTCCTGGGGAGGAGGACAGTGCAGGGCCAGCTTCAAATCTCTTGGGCTGTGTTTTGTCACATACAACTTTCATGAAAAATCCTTTCCTTAGGATTTTTTCCTCCTGAGAAGCTGAGAGGCCTCAGGAATAGAATGTAAACAATGGTTATCTGCTGCTGGGGAATGCACCTGTGATTGGTCTCATGTGTTTGTTTCTAATTAATGGCCAATCACAGTCCAGCTAGCTCGGCTCTCTGTCCGAGCCACAAACCTTTGTCATTCATTCTTTTCTATTCTTAGCTAGCCTTCTGATGAAACCTTTTCTTCTATTCTTTTAGTATAGTTTTAATGTAATATATATAATAAAATAATAAATCAAGCCTTATGAAACAGAGTCAAATCCTTGTCTCTTCCCTCAACATAAGACCCCATCACAGTGTTTGACCCTGCCCTGGTAAAGGTCTTTAAGCAGCAACCTGAACCCCCCCAGTCCCCCACCAGCTCCAGAGCTTTTGCTTTGCTCTCCCCAGGTCACTGTGTGTTACAACGCCGTCGTGGCCAGGAACAACAAGCTCAGAGAGGAGACTCTGAGCCTGCAGATCCAGAAAGCCAGTTTTGACAACCTCTACTGGAAGCTGGAGAGAAGCCTGGTCCTGCAGAACAAGCTGCTGAACGCTGCTATCGAGCAAGCCACAGAGGACTACGACCAGTGGTACGGGGCCTTGTCAGCCCTCTGGGCAGAACTTGGGGCTGCTGGGTGGTGCCAGTGATGAGTGTGCAAACACAGAGACCAACTGAGGCTTCAGGGGGAGGACTGACCACTCCCATCTAGGTCTGCGTGCTGAGGGTTGGGTGCCTGGTCACTGTGGGGAGACTGGTGCCTCCAGGGTGTTTCATTCCATCTGTCCCAGATGTTTCTTTGGATGGGATGGACTGCCCCATGGAGAAGTCTATTTTCTGTGTCTCATCAGAGCTGGGCGCTATGCCCAAGTACAAAACCCCACCAAAATCTGTGTTAGTGGCTGTGAATTCCCTCTGGACTGACTCCACTCCATCCAGATGAGATCTGGGAACGGGCACAGCACCACAGGGGCTTTGGCAGGTCTGGCCCGCCTGGGAGTGGCCAGGAACACAGAGTCTTGTGCACACACGAGGTGTGAGAGCTGCTCTCCGTGCAGGATGGAGGATCTGGGGCGGATCTCGGACATCCGGGACGTGCGCTACAGGGAGACCATCCAATACAACATCAGACTGCTGGAGAGGAAGTGTGCCCTGCACCAGGAGAGCAGGCTGAAGAACTTCTTCCTCAGCAAATGTGCAGATCTCTCTGTATTGAAGGAACAGGCCAAAGCGAGAGAAGGTAACAGAGCAGGATTTGTGGCACAGGGAGCACAAACCCAAAGTCTGTGGAGTTGATGGGGTTGGGCTGCTCATGGTGGTTTATGGAATTGCACCCCAAAGGCAGGATGGCTGCCCTGCCCACAGCCTCCCCCACCCAACCTTCACCCTACAAACAAAAAGGCTGAGCAGTGATAATTGAGTGAGACTGAGTGTCTTGGGGTGCCCTCGGGACAGGGAGCTGCTCCTGTGTGCAACCAAGGCTCATTTCACCACAGAACAGGTTGGGTTGGAAAGGAGTCTTAAAACTCATCCAGTCCCACCCCCTCCATGGGCAGGGACAGCTTTCACTATCCCAGCTTGCTCCAAGCCCTGTCCAGCCTGGCCTTGGATGCTTCCAGGGATGGAGCAGCTGCAGCTTCTCTGGGCAACCTGTCCCAGAGCCTCATCACCCTCACAGGGAAGAATTTCTTTCTAAAATCTAATCTAATCTAATAATTCTGTCCTCCTGGGAGGGAATCCATGGTGTTTGCTCCATTCCCATGACATCCCTGCTCAGTTTCCTGGCAAGAGAGGGACCCTCTGCCCCTCCACACTGCTCCCTCCTGCCCCAGCCCTGCACCAAACCCCATAGCACTGCCAGGAGGGCTCTGCAAAGGGCAACCACGGCTCTCTGTCTCTTTCTCAGCCTTTGAGGCAGCTGAGAGGGCCAAAGCGAGCCAAAAGGAGAGCTATGAGGTGGCCTACAAGCGTCTGCTGGAGCTGTCGGACGGAGACATCGATGATTTCTTGGAGGACTTCCTTGAGAAGGACAGGAAATTCTTCATCCTCTTTAACTTTGCCATTAGGCTGAACGTCAAGAATGAGAGTCTCAGGCAGAGGATCGAGGCCGTCCAGGTCTGTTCCTGCCTCTCCGTGCCTCCCCTTTCCAGGCCGTGATTTTGGGCCAGGGTGGCTTTGTCCTCTCCCGAGTGTCCTTCCTTCACCGCTGCCCGCATCCAGCCACACGGGGAGGATGAGGGGGATGCAAAGGAGCGGCCAAAGCTGAGCTCCGCTGTGTTCTGGGAGCTGAACGTGTCTCAATGCTGCCACCGTGTACCCAGCACAAGCACTGCAGGGTCCCGGGGAGCTGGCAGCATTTCCCGGGAGTTCTGCATTTCCCTGCTCCCTGGGCTGTCCCCAGTCTCCATCTGCTGGGTCAGGTAGAGTTCCACCCCATGTGCTGCTGTTCCCATCCCACAGGATGATATGGAGGCCATGACAACGGAGAGGGAACAGGCAGAGACAACCCAGACTCAGGTCCTGCAGGAGCTGAAGGTATGGTGGCCATGGATTCCCTCTGGAAGAGCAGCACATCCCTGTCTGTGCCAGCACTTGTCCCAGGGAGTCTGGTCCTGTAAATGCTGCTCTGGCCAGGGGCTGGAGAGGTGTGGGGGGAAAAGGGGCCTGCAAAGGTCTTGCAGGGTGAGAGGGTGGCTGTGGAACCCTTCAAGAACCCTCTGGACACAACGCTGTGCCCTGTGCTCTGAGATGACCCTGCTCAAGGAGAGGTTGGACCAGACCACCCATCATGGTCCCTTCCAACCTGGCCCATCCTGGCATGCTGTGATTCTGTCTCCAGACTGGAACTGGGCAGCACTGGGCTGGTGGGGTCAGCGAGGGGCTGGTGTGACACCTTTGTGACACAAAAACCTTTGCTGGTAGGCAAAAATAGCAGAGACCACCAAGGAAGCCAACAAGTATGAGAACAAATACAAGGAGAGCAGCCAACTCCTGGGACAGATCCAATCTCGCATTGAGACCCTCTTGAAGGAAATGGACTGTGACACTACAAAGATAGTGAAGCCTCTTGGGGACAGCTTGGTGCCAGTTTTTGGTAGGTCAGGGCTGCCCATCTTCCTGTGCCTCCACCCTGGGAGGTCCTGTCCACCACCTGCTTACACTGTGTTTAAATTGAGCTTTTGTTTTCCCCTGTCCCATCAGTCACGTGTGCCCTAAAGTGAATTTGCAATGCCAAATTTAGGAGGTAATTTGGATTTTTAACATCCCAGTGGATCCCCAAAGCCTCACTGTGGGTCTGGGTGCTGAAGTGCAATGGGGGTCAGCCTTTCCTCCCAGGCAGCCAGCAAGAGGACAAGGGGAATTGCACTAGGGGAGGTTCAGGTTGGATATTAGGAACAATTTCTTCACAGTAGTGGTCAAGCGTTGGAACAGGCTTCCCAGGGAAGTGGTAGAGTCACCACCCCTGAAGTGCTCCAAAAATAAAGAGTATGTGGCACTTTGTGGTATGCTTTAACAGGCAGGGGATATTCAGTATGAAGTTGGACTTGATGGTTTTGGAGGTCTGTTCCAACATTAACAACTCTGTGATTTTATGATTCCATGACCCAGCCAGGGGGTCAGGCTGCCCTGAAGGAAGTCAGTGGATCCCCTGCACTGCAGACGGCCAGGGCTGGCTTTGGGCAGGGTCCTGCTGCAGGGGCACTGTGGGACAATATGGCTCCTTCCTCCCCAGGCCCCGTGGAGAACAAGGTCAAGGAGTTCCTGATGAGGGAGTCCCTGCTGCGCTACACCTCCCTGGACCGCTCCCAGCGCGCCCAGGGCTTCGTCAGCCCCCTCCGGGAAGCCTCCAGCCACCTCTGGACCATGGACAGGGCCAAGCTCTGCCCACAACCCCCAGACCTGGAGGAGAGCGCTGACCCCAGAACCGGTGAGCAGGGACAGGGGAGAGAGAGAGGCCATGGCTGGGCAGAAGCCCTTCCCAATCCCCCGTGGCTGCCTGGCCCAACCCTGCTGCCCCATGTCCTTCCCAATGCATCCCCTCCAGGCTGTCCTGCCCCACTGGGGGTGTGAGGCCTGTGAAAGTGTGTATGAGGGGTGTGAGGCATGTAACAGTGTGTGTGAGGGGTGTGAGGCCTGTAACAGTGTGTGTGAGGGGTGTGAGCCTGTAACAGTGTGTATGAGGGGTGTGAGAACTGTAACAGTGTGTGTGAGGGGTGTGAGGCCTGTAACAGTGTGTAAGAGGGGTGTGAGAACTGTAACAGTGTGTGTGAAGGGTGTGAGGCCTGTAACAGTGTGTGTGAGGGGTGTGAGGCCTGTAACAGTGTGTGTGAGGGGTGTGAGGCCTGTAACCGTGTGTTTTATGGGATATCTGTTCCCTTGGGCAGCGGAAGAGCCGCTGGGCCGGGAAGAGCTGCGGGAGCTCGTCATCCAGAGGCAGCAGGAGGAGGTGAGCAGGCCCCCCAGCGCGGGCAAGAAGAAGAGGAAGTTCACATCACCCGGTGCATCAGGGAGCCCATCACGGTCCAAGACCCCAGCAGGGAATTAAAGAAGATGTTTCATTCTTGAGCTTCTGCATGCTGCGCATCATTCCATCTTCCTTCTCTGGAAGGAGCCCAACACCTTTCACAGGCCTCAGAACCTCACCAGGTGGTGTCTTGGCATAGCTTCACTCACTGCTGGTAGCACCTGCAGCCAGGGTGGGATCAGCTGCTCCAGCAGAGGGTGACATCCCTGTCACACAAGCCAAGGCACTGCCCACAGCCAGAGATGGGGACCATGGTGCCAATCCTGCAGGGCCTGGCAGGTGGGGTGCAGGGATGGGTGTCCTCTTGGGGTGCTCCCTGCTAAGCTGGCAGAAGCTGACAGCTCTCTGCTGCCTAAAGGAAATCTGAGCTCAGTGCTGGCCCTGGGACCAGGTGGGATGGGCACAGCCCAGTGTGGAACAGGCTGGTTTGGGGCTGGGTGTGGGAGTGGAAGGCAGAGGGACTCAAGGACACATGAGGGGGACGTGCAGTAGGTTTGGGGTGCTGAGGCCAGCAGGGTCTGGAAGGGTCTGAGGGCTCCCACACCACACAAGCCCAAGCACTGCTCACACCAGCAGCTGGGTTTCCTCTTGCCAAAAGGCTTTTTAATGTGAATGCCATTCCCGTGCCAAATTCCCAGGCACATGCCTCTCCAGGGAAAGAGGAAAGGGAACCTCTATGTGACCCAGGGAGAGGTGATCTTGCAGTGCCAGCCCCAGCCCTGAGCCTGGGCTAGTCCTTCTCTTCACCATGAGTGATGACATGGACCAGGTTCTTGTAGTCCAGGTTGCCAGACATGTCCGGAGGGAAGGCAGCGAACATCTGATCGATCTGCCGGGGAAGAGCAGTGACAAAAGGTGGCATGGGAGGGCTGGGAGGAGGGATGGGGTCTGTTGGGATGGAGGGAGGCTGGCAGAGGGTGGGAAGGAGATCCTACCTCTTCCTGGGAAAACCTCTCCCCCTGCGTCATCAGCATTTCTTTGATGCTGCAAACAAGAGATCATGGTGAGCACTAGGCAGGTCCTCATGGGGACACCCCCATCACTCCCTGCCACAGAAACCCCTGCTGCACTCACTAGGCAGATTTCAGGCCTTTTCCCTCTGGATCAAACACCTTGAATGCATTCAGGATTGTCTCCTCTGGGTCAGCACCTGCGGGTGACAAAGCCACGGCCATTGGAGATGGCAAAGGAGGAAACCACCTGCAGCCTCCTGCTTCTCCCAGCCTCGGGGGCAAAATGGGGGGCAGGCTGGAAAGTGGGGCCCCTGCAGGAATGCTGGACACTTGAGTGGAGTTGGTGGCATGTGGAGGAGCAGCCGTAGGGTGGTGGTGTGTGAGCACAGAGCAGGCAGTGTCGCCACCACTCTGGCATCCAGGGTTTATCTAATCTTGGGGGTATTTATAGAGCTCCAGGCACAGTCCTTGGGGCCCTGCAGCTCCAGGCACAGCCCTTGGGGCCCTGCAGCTCCGGGCACAGCCCCTGGGGCCCTGCAGCCTCTTGGAGATCTGCATTCCTTGGGTTAAGTACGTGATTCAGGGTGCAGCCAGATGGGCTGATGGGTCAGAGTCTGGCTGTAGGCAGGGGGGCCACTCTTGGCGCTGCTGCTGTCAGCAGGCTCAGAGGTGCTGCAAGAGCTGTCCCCTCTTCCTATGGGACAGCAGCAGCAGCAGCAGCACAGCCATTTGGGTTTTGTAAATGCCTGGGGAAACTGAGGCACAGAGACCATCTCACACCCCACAACAGTTTGGGGAGTCGTGGGATAAGATGTGGATCTCTGGACCTAGGGGTGGTTGGTATTGTAAATCAGGAATTTTGGGGCATAGGAATGGTACTGGGCACCAGTGAGCACCCCCAGCTGCCCAGGTGCCCTCTCACCCTTGAGCTTCTCCCCAAACATGGTGAGGAACACGGTGAAGTTGATGGGGCCCGGTGCCTCCTTTATCATCTCATCGATCTCCTCGTTCTTCACGTTCAGGCGCCCTGGGGAGAGCAGCTGTGGGTCAGTCATGGATCCAAGTACTGCTCTGTGTGCTGGGGGCTAAAATACACACCACAGAACCTTTTCCTGGGGATTTTCCCCCACTGGAGGGAAGTAGCACATTCCTGGGGAGCCACCTCTGACAAGGAATGGAGGGAGCAGCAGTGAGGTGAGAGAATCATCTCCAGCTCTGGCTTCTCCAGGGTCACAGAAAAGAAGGATGAAAGGACTGAGCTGTGCTGCTTCCTTGCCTCACTGCCCCATGGATCAGCCTCTTTTAGCCCTCCTTGGAATGTTTGGGCCAAGGCCACCAGCACTGGGGTTCTCCCTGTCCCCCAGCCCCAAAAGCAAACAGGATTGAACACCTACATCCTTTTTCCCGAGGCTGTGCTGTCCTTGGAGCTCCATTGCTGATTCATGCTGACCTCTGATGGCAGAGCCAAGCCTGCAGTGTCACAGCCTCCCACAAATCCCCTAAATCCCCTTAATGCCCACACGCCCTGGGATGCCGTGGGATGGGCACAGCCAGGTGCTCCTAAGGGAAAGGCAGGGAGTGCTGGGCTGTGCAATCCAGGAGTGGCTCCAGTGCCAAGGGGAGGGACTGGGAAAGGCAGGAATGTTGGGCTGTGTAATCCAGGAGTGGCTCCAGTGCCAAGGGGAGGAACTGGGAAAGGCAGGGATGTTGGGCTCTGTAATCCAGGAGTGGCCCCAGTGCCAAGGGGATGAACCAGAGCTGCTGTGGGAGCTGCTCCAGGTCACCCATGAGGGATCTCCCAGGCTGGCAGCCTTGGGTTGGGATCAGGAGGATTTTGGTGAAATGGGAGGTCAGGTGAGTGACAGGGGCTTGGTTAAATGCTCCACCCTGCCTTGTTTCTCAATGAACAGGTTTGATGTTGGCAAATCTGGGGAGGGGAGGCTGTTGGAGCTGGGCTCACCGAGGGCAGCAAAGGTGTCTCTCAGGTCTGCCTTGTCGATGAAGCCGTCCCGGTTCTGATCCATGATGGTGAAGGCCTGCAAGCACAGGAGCAGGGCAGGGAGCACAGGGAAAGGGACAATTGTCAGCCTTTGCAAAGGCTTTAGCACCTTTCTCCTTCTCCCTTCAGCTTGGATGGGATAAGGGCGTTTTGAATCCTCCCAGGAGGGGCTCTGGGGATCTCGCTCACCCTAATCCCACACAGCACCCTGGGGTGATGTCAATCCAAACCCCAAAGCTGTACAAACCCTTTCCTTGCCCAAATCCCTCTCACCCCAGTATGACACCAGGCAGAGAGGCCAGCCTGAGCCACCGGCTCCTCCAACTGGGGCCAGTAATCCCTGGAACTGGGATCTGCACAGGACCACATGCCTGCTGTGCAGGGGTGAGAGCTCCTGGCCAGGCAGAAGCTGGGGGATGAGCTCCAGCTCCCTCAGATGTGCTGATCCTCTCAGGGAATCTGCCTCCTGGGCAGTTTTGCCAGATTTAACAGTGTCACTGAGTTGCTATTCTCACTTTTAAAATAAAACAACCCCAAACTGCTCCTGCTGCCTCCTGGTGTGAGCCAGCTGTCACTTGGGAGCACCAAGGAAAGAGCTGAAGGTCACACCACATCCAGGACCCTCGGTCCTTCCCACCAAACCCACCTACCTCCTTGAATTCCTGGATCTGGGCTTGCTCAAACATGGAGAAGACATTGGAATTGGCACCCTCAATCCTCTTCTTGGCTTTCTTGGGTGCCTGCAGGAGTCCAGGTACTCTCCATTAGCTCACTGGCTTTTTATGGGGTCAAATAAAAGCCTAAAAAATGCCCTGTTCTTATTTGTGACTCCTTGGTGGGAGCTCTGGGCTGGGGCTCTCCTCCCTGGGGGCTTGGTGGTTTCTCCCTGCAGCTCTGGGATACTGAGGGGCATTAAGATTCCTGCTTAAATTTCAGCTCCTGGTGAATTTAGCCAAATAAGGCCAAAGAAAGATGAGGAGTGAAATCACTGCTCCCACTGGGGTGAGATATCCCTGTTGGAACCCTGGTTTTGGGAGCACTGCTGAGGTTGCACATAAGGGCTGGAGTCAGTCAGTGCTTCTTTACCCTGCTGTGCAGATATTAAAATATGGCTTAATTAAAAATCTGCCTCCTCCTGCACTGAGGCTTGAATCAGTCAGAAATGGGTCAATGTGTGTTTTAAAGGACTGAAGAGCCCCTTGCTGTCCCACCCAGCCCATTATCCCTCATTCCAGTGCCTGCTCCTGCAGCTGTTTCCTCTCATGGGGGTCTGTCAGGAGGAGGATTTTGGGGGCACGAAATGTCCCTTCCTCTCATAGCACAAAGGAAGGGAAAAGGGAAAAATGGCATTTGGACCCTAAAGCCATCTGCCCTCATTTGAAAGCTCTGCTAGCATGGGGGACACCTCTCTGCTCCCTGTGAGATTCTGCTGATCCACCCAGATGCTCCCCAGTTTTCTCACCCCCTTTCCAAGGCAGACAACACCCTTGGCCCTCAACTCCTTGCTGACTCCTTTGCCCCCTGCCCATTAAAGCTATTCTGGTGAAAAATCAAATTAATTTTCTCTCTTGGTCTCTCAGCACTCACCATGGCTGTGCTCAGCTGCCAATGTCACTGTGAGGGGTGTCCCAGAGGCTCTCCCTCACTCCCCCCCGGATGGAACAATAAATACACCCCCCTGGGGGATAAAAATAGCCCCATGCCCACTTTTGGCTGTAATAGGTAATTTGGCCGCCCCCAGCTCTGTTGTCTCTGCCTTTCTCTGTCCCTCTCTCTCTCTAATCTGGAATGGCAGCTTGTTGTTGTCACCGGCTGACGTGACATGTGAGCCCGGCAGGGTTTCAAGGTTAGCCAAGCTCCGGTGGCCCCCAGCTCCCACACCGGGGATGCTCGGGGACAATCCCACCTGCCTTTGTCACTCGGGCTGGGGCCGGGCTTGTCCCCTCCGCTGGGAGGGCTTGGCCCCAGGGGACCCCCCGCCAGAATCCCCCAAGTTCTGGGACACGGATGTTTCTCCTCGGTGCTTCCAGGCGTTTTTGGGAGCCCCATCGCAGCCTTGGCATGGCACAGCCGGGAGCTGCTCGGCTGCCCGTGGGTCGCCTCCCTTGGGATGCTCCCTTGTCACCCAGCCCGTGTCCGAGCGGGGACATCCCCGGAGCTGCAGCCCCATCCCGGAGCAGGATGCTGAGCCCGGCGGGTACGAAATCTCCTCTCTCATGTGTCACCCCCACTGAGGCACCTGTCACCCACTTAAGCCGAGCATTTGCTCGCCCCGATCCCGGTGGGACACACACATTTAACCCTCCCGATTCCGGGCTCTGTCCCGGGGACACATCCTGCGGGGATGCCGCTCACAGTGCCCAGGCTCTGGCTCGGCAGAAAGATCCAAGGAACCCACGGGGAGCAATCCCACAAAACCTCTGATATGACCCTGCTTGTGGCTGCCGGGACCGGGCGGTTCCCTTTTGTCTCCAGCCCGTTCATTCCATCCCCGCTCCCTCTCGCCTTGCCCGGGATGAGGCTGGAGGAGGATTCACGCTGGGGTGGGAATGGCGCTGCCAGCCCCAGGGATGCCCATCAGCCCCCCGGGCTCTGCGGTGCCATGGCCGTGACCCGGCGGCCTCGCTGCCTGGCATTGTCCCCTCCGCATGCCCAGGAGGGCGGTGGGCGAGCAGGGAGGGCTGGGAACAAAAGGCATTGTGAAACCGGATCCCTGGAACTCCGGGCTCTGCCCAGGCGCTGCCCTTGTTCTCCCCGAGGTCACAAATATCGTGTTTAATCCCTGGCACTCGGCTGCCACCGCCGTGCCAGCGAGGATGGCATTGCGGGGAGGATTTCAGCAGGCAATTCCAGGAGATTTCAGGGGAAAATGTGTAGGGAAAAGTGTCTGTGGAGGAGAAAAACTCCTGATCCGGGAATGACCATCTGGCCTGGATGGAGCTGCAGCTCAGGGAAGGGATTTCAGGATGTGTTTTGGGCTCTGTGTGAGCAAAAAGGGCAGGAGAAGGAGCCGCCAGGGCAGAGCTGGGGCCAGGAGCAGCCCCGGGCACAGCCGGGCATGATCGGGATCAATCGCGGCACGGACGCTCCCTCATCCTGCCAAGTTCAGCTGGATTCATCATCCAGCCGAGCCCAATTACCTTAATTTGTGGCATTAAGGAAAAATCCATAAGCATCAGGGAAGCGATGTGTGGTGGTTCCACAGGACTGGCCGTGGAGGCGCCTGGGCTCTGCCCATGCCCATCCTGGGGCACGGCACAGCAGGAAACCCTGGAGCTGTGGAGGCCTCCCAGAATGTTATTTTGTCAAGAACAACCATTTTTGCCCACCCAGCCTGAAAGAAACCAGACCTGTGTCTCTCCCTGGTGTTGGCCGGTTGTGGTTGGGGGCTTTGGAGGGTCAGGGTGCAGAGGGTGGCGCAGAAATCTGGAATGGGCATGGGGTGCAGATGGCTGCCAGGGTTTCTGCTGTGGTTTGTGAGGCGTTGCATCTGCTCCAGTGCTGAAATCCTCTGTGCTGCCCAGGCCAGATCCTGCTCTCCCCTGAGGATCCTGCTCCAGTCCGCAGATGGAAGCACTTCCAGGCACATCACATCCTTCTCCTCCTCTGGATATCGGGGGCCTTGCTGGCCCCCAGGAAAACCTGAGTGCTTTAAATATGTCTGTATGCACAAACCTGCCTCTGGAGCCCTGGAGTGAACAAAAGAGCTGTGGGAAGTGGCTGCAGCCTGTGAATGGATGTCAAGGAACAACACACGGATCTGTGCCACAGCAAAATCAAGCCTCGTCCCTCCTTATCTGCAAAAGAGCCTGTGTTTTACATGAAAAAGCCTTTCTAATTAATAGGCCAGCCCCTCTTGAGCTCGATAAAAAATGGAGTCAAAAGGATTTGATTAACCCCTGCTCCGTGCCGGGCGCGTGCTCTGCCTGAGCCAGGCCTGCCCGGGGCTGATAACGGCTCCGTGTCCCGGGAATCCCGACAGAATCCCGGTACCCCCGGGCCTGAGCACCCTCAGAACCACCCTGGGGGTGTCCTGAGCCCCCTCAGAGGGCTGGGATGCTCCAGAGCCAGCTCAGTTCCTTCTGAATATCCTCTGCTCCAGCTGGTGTTTTTTTCAGTGCTCACACACATTTGACTAAACTAATACATATGTATACACCCCGGGACGCTCCCATCCAAACCAATGTAAATTACCTCTGACCAATACGTTTTCCCAGGAAATCAATGCATTTTAACACTGGATAATATTTATGAAATTGAATTCTTTTTTTTTTTATTGAAGCTAATGCAATTCCCTTCTGTTTTATGCATTTTTATTAAACTAATGCATTTTAAATTAAACTGTTGTATATTAACTACAATGGCTGTGGGTACTTACAGTAAAGTAATATATGTTTGCTGAAATCAATACATATTCCAAACCTGGGAATTTCCAGTTAACAAGGCTATATCAAATATAACAAATGCATGTACCTGCTTAATTCGATGCTTATATACAACTGGCTGCTATATTTGTTTATTGGTAATGATTATTTTAAAGGAGGGAAGCATATTAAGGGTAGAAAGATAGATTCCTGCTGGGAGCTGCTGCTGGAAGCTGCCAGAGGTGGTCACCCCATCCCTGATGCTCGAATTGGGGAGTGTGGGGGTGACCCACGGGCTCTGGTGCTGGCTGAAATTCATCTCCTCTGGCACAGACTGGTTTCTGTGCCCTCCATCACACCCCTGCAGCTCAGTTCCTCTTGTGTGAATTTTGGGGACATCCTTCCCTTGCCCACCACATCCCCCACAGCTCCTTTCTCTCAGCAGCATTCTCAGGAGCCCTCAGAGGGTTTTACCCCTCTCCCCTCGGTGTTCAGAAGGTTTCCACGTGCGGCAGCTTATTCCGGGCAGATTTGATGCCGCAGCTTTGCCTGACTCAGCTCCGTTTTCCCTTGGAAAGTTCCAGCACCGTGGTTATGGCCGGGAGGCTTTGCCCAGCTCAGGAATTTGGGCAAGAGCCGCCACCTGCCTGATAGAGCCGGGGATGGGGACGAGGACGGGCAATTCCTGAGTCCCAGGGCTGTGTCCTGCCCCGAGAACAGGATGCGGTCCTGGGGGGAGCCGCAGCATTGACAGGAAAGCCATAAATAGCCGCGTTATCCGCCGTGAGCGCGCCAGCGGCGCCGGGGCTGAGATAATTCGGGAGAAGCAATAAAGGAGGAAAATTAATTAAAGAGCATGTGCTAATTGTAGGGGAAATGTGCGTGCAACGAGTAGCCGAGGCAGAAAGGCGGCCGGTGGAGGATCCCGGGTACCACCCTGCACATCCCGGGGGGCAGCGGGGGCTGAGGCCGGGCACAGCTCAGCGATGTCGCGGGCAGCCAAGGTGCCTCTCCCTGCACTCCTGTGCCCCCTTTGCTCCTTTGCGTCCCCTCACTCTGACCGCTCGTGTCCCCCCGTGTCCCCCCGTGTCCCCGGCCCGGCCGGCGGGGACGCGCTGCAGCTCCCGCGGTGGCCGCCAGGTGGCGACGTTGTAGCGGGAGCTGCCAGGTCCTGGCGGGAGAGGGAGAGGAGAGGAATGGGAAAGGGAATTGGGGAAAGGGGTTGGGGAAAGGGATTGGGGAAAGGGATTGGGAAAGGGAATTGGGGAAAGGGGTTGGGGAAAGGGATTGGGGAAAGGGATTGGGAAAGGGATGGGGAAAGGGATTGGGAAAGGGATGGGGAAAGGGGTTGGGGAAAGGGGTTGGGGAAAAGGGATGGGGGAAAGGCATTGGGGAAAGGGATGGGGGAAAGGGATGGGGGAAAGGGGTTGGGAAAGGGGCTTCTGGGACCCCAGGACCAAACCCACTGGGGGCAGTTGACAGAGACTGCACAGGATGAGGACAGAGCTCTGCAGCCGCTGTCGGGGTGTCCACGAGGGATGTGCCCAGGGCTGCAGCTGGGTCTGAGCTCCTGGGCAGCCCCAGGCCCTCACACATCCCTGCTTATCTGATGGCACTGCTGTGCCATGGTGAGGCTCCTGGTGTCCCTCTGCCCATCCTTGGGACTGAGCAAGCTCCCAATCAGCACTGGGTCACCATCAGACTGGTCACCACCAGCATTGGGTCACCATCAGCACTGGGTCACCACCAGCACTGGTCACCGTCAGCACCTCTCACTGCCAGCATCACCCCTGGGCTGCCTCATGGGGCCAGCTCACTGCACAAAGGAGTTACATGGATCACAAACAGACAGCAAGGCAGGAAAAAATTAATGCCTGGAATGGGAGAATGGGAGTGTGCTGAAATCCCTTTTTTTTTTTTTCCTTTTTTTCCTTTTTTTTTTTTTTTTTTTTTTTTTTTTTTTGTTAAAGTACACAGAAAAGCCCCTTCCGTATTTTAATTAAAAGCCTTTCAGGAGAGGAGGCAAGGGGCTGCCATTTACAACGGGCTATTGTCAGGCACACAAAGCAAACGGGGCTGGAGACAAACTGATTTATTAACCTGCATCTCACAGTGCTCCCGGGGGGGGGTGAGCCCTCTGTGGAGGGGGTGGCAGCTCTGGGGTCCCCCTGCTCCCCCTGGGGTGCTGCAGGGCCGTGGGGCAGCCCCCAGGGGACACAGGGGACAGAGGGGACACGGCTGGTTTGTGCCACCCCGCAGCTCCCCGTCCCTCCAGGTGGCTCAGGGTGCGGCCCCTCTCCTCTTCCTCCCTGCTCCCATTGATTTATTAATGATTTG